AGGCTATGGTTTTTCCAGTGGTCATGTATGGATGTGAGAGTTGGGCTATAAAGAAAGCCGAGTGCCGAAGAATTGATGCTTTTGAACTGTGGTGTTGGAGAAGACTCTTGAGAGTCTTTTGGATTGCAAGGAGACCCAACCAGTCCATCCTAAAGGAAATCAGTCCTGAATATTCATTGGAAGGACTGATGTTGAAGCTGAAACTCCAATACGTTGGCCACCTGATGCAAAGAGCTGACTCATTTGAAAAGACCCTGACGCTGGGAAAGATTGAAGGCAGGAGGAGAAGGGGACGACAGAGGATGAGATGGTTGGATGGCATCACCGACTCTATGTACATGAGTTTACATGGGTAAACTCTGGGAGTTGGTGATGGACAGAAAGGCCTGGCGTGCTGCAGTTCATGGGGTCGCAAAGAATCGGACATGACTGAGTGACTGAACTGAAGTCTTAAGAACTGGCCTATACTCCAGGGACACAGGGTTATTTAACAAATACAGATTTGTTCTCATGGGCTTTACAAGGGAGAGATGAGTTAACCAAACAATCCAAGAAATATATAAATACAAAATGAGATAAATGCTTTGAAAAGAAATATGATGTCATGAAAGTATATCATAGAGGATCTCACCGAGGTTGCACCAAGGAAGAGTTGAGATCTAGTGGGTGCATAACAGTCAACTGGAAGAGGGTGTGTGTGTGTAAGGGTGGTGGTGGTGGGTGAGTAGAAGGGTAGGAGGAACAGAGGGAAGGAAGAAAATTTCTTTGGCAAGACTTGAAAGTGAAAGTAAAAGTCACTCAGTTGTGTCCAACTCTTTGAGACCCCATGGACTATACAGTCCATGGAATTCTCCAGGCCAGAATACTGGAGTGGGTAGCCTTTCCATTCTCCAGGGGATTTCCCAATCCAGGGATCGAACACAGGTCTCCCGCTTTGCAGGTAGATTCTTTACCAGCTGAGCCACAAGGGAAGCATGGTCCTTTTGGGGAACAAATGATGGAGCAGAGAGGTAAGGGGAACAGTGGTGCCAGAAAAGCAGAGAAGTCCAAGCGAGAGAAGCCACCACGTCTCTGTAAATATTCTGGTCTAGACCCAAGGGGAGTGGGAGGGCATTAGAGAGTTTTAAACACACTTGTGTCATGAGCAGACCTAAGGCAGGCACAGTGCTTCTCTTCTTCATGCGTGTATTATAAAAGCAGAAGCTCATATGGCTTGTGGAACCTTCTCAGGCTTCATGGGGGTCACACAGGTAATGAGCGGCTTGGCTACAGCTTAAATCCAGGTCAAGAGATGCCCACACTTTTTATTCTTAAATACTCAGTGAATCCATGTTGCATGTCAGTCTCTTTCTGCCTCATTTTTTATGTCTGCAAAGGAAGCATCTACCTCTGGAGTATGAGCAGAACTGACTGGAATTAACACTGTTAAACTCCTACTATGTTATTTTATTTAAGACAACCATCCTACAAGGGCTTCCCTCATAGCTCAGTCAATAAAGAATCTGTCTGCAATGCAGGAGACCAGGGTTCGATCCCTGGGTCAGGATGATCCCCTGGAGAAGGAAATGGCAGCCTACTCCAGTATTCTTGCCTGGAGAATCCCATGGACAGAGGAGCCTGGTGGGCTACAGTCCACGGGGTCACAAAGAGATGGACATGATCTAGCAACTCAACCACCACCATCCTACAAGGACAGGCCTTATTATCTCTACTTTCAAGGTGAGAAGACAGAGGTTCAGAAAGTTAGGTAAGATGCCCTGTTGTCAAAAAATAGAGGAGCAGGGACATGAATCCATTCTGTTTGACTCCAAAGTTCAGACGATCCCAGGACACTGGCTGTCTTTGCAGCATCCTTTCCACCCAAAGTAAATGGGAAGGGAGGAATGGGTGGGCGGGTGATGTAGAGACCAGGTGGATCCCATAGCAATCCAGGGAGAGGTGAAGGTGGGGCTGGATAAAGCAGATCTGAGGCAAAGAGAACCACTAGGAATTGAACATTGAATGCATTTTGGGCATGGGGTAAAAGAAAACATCAGGCTTGAGGCCTGGGCAGATGGTGATCATTCACCCTGGGGACAGGTTTGTGGGGCGGCAGGACAGAGGTCCTGGGTGCCAGGCATTCCTGGGGTAGGCATGGAGGAGAATCTGGAGGTTTGAAGAGAGGTCTGGACCGTTGGCTATTGGCAGAAAAAGCTTTCTTGTTATTGAGCAGATATACAGCAAACTCTGGCTGAAGTGATGGGCCATCTGCTCTGATCTGTGACTGCTGGCTTTGCCAGTTAGACCTCCTTTGTTCTCAAGCTCACACCTTCAACATTCCCTGTATCCTTTGTTTTTTTTCCTGAGGATAATCTCCAGCATGCCCCCCGGGTCAGAAGGAAGGTGGATGAAAATAAGAGTTTTGTTAAAACGATTTTTACTACCTTATGGTTTAAGGAGAAAAAGATAATTCACAAAGCCCTAGTTCATTCAAGGAATGATACTAAATCCCCAAAGCATTGCCTTACACATTCTAAATCAGAGCTTGGCTTCTAAAATGGGAACCTACAATCTCTTTGCAAAGAAAAAAAAAGTATGATTTATCACTCCAATCTTGCAGTCTATGCAATGCAGACATTTCATTCCTGGGAATGAAGAGTCCTATTTGCCTTGAAGCAGAGTGTAAACGTTTGATTCGTGACCAGACAACTTGACTGTTAATGGCCTGTGACCGACTAAACTAAGCGCCAACTAAACTAAGCACAAAATCTTAGGACCACCACCAGGCAGTTAAGACTTCACTCCTGAGTCAGACTTCTCTGGAGCTATTGTTTCCATCTGATATGTTCAGAACAATCTTCTAAGATGAAGCTGTGGGGCCTGCACAATGGGGTGCTGTGAAATTTTAAATTCTAGACACTCAAATGATAATCTCAAGAAGAACCCAATATACTGTTCACTGCAAAGTAAATATAGGTCCTCCTTGTCTTCATCAGCAGATAGTTAACGTGGACTGTCAGTTGAGGGCAAGGGACCACACCAGTGATGAATCCTAGGTAGGTTCTGACTGGCAGGGTTTGCGGTATCTTGATAGAATGGGGCTTCACCTGACAAACACCATCTCATTCTTCTGTACCTGACCAGACTGTTTAGATAACATTTACATCTCCAGCCAGTGAGTTCAGCATGGTGAGTCTTCCTCAAGGATGGAGAAAATTCAGATATACAAGAACCTAATTGTCCGAACGAATCTAAGGAGCCAGGAACCAAGCCTGAACTCTGCCCGGGAAAAGCCCAAGAATCAGCTGGAAGCAGATCACAGATGAACAATGAAAGCTGACCTTGGGTGTGAGCTGGGGGAGCCGCCAGACTTTGGCAGGACACCCACATCTGCTACGGGGGCCACTGGGCCTTGTACCAGGAAGGGCAGCTGAGAGATCCAGCTTGACCCCAATGGCAAATGGGACCAGGAAACGGTCCAGATGGAGGCTGCTGATAGTTCTTTTCTCTTCAGGGACTTTGGGGAAAGTGGAAGAGGAGAAGGCTGATTTCACTGAGGAAGAACCATGTTCAGGCAAAAGCCAGAGTGGTCACACGAGGGAAATGGACAGACCTGAGATGTGAAAAGGACTTCCCAGGTGGTGCTAGTGATAAAGAACCCATCTGCCAATGCAGGAGACGTCAGAGAGGTGAGTTTGATCCCTGGGTCAGGGAAGACCCCCTGGAGAAGGGAATGGCAACCCACTCCAGCATTCTTGCCTGGAGAATCCCATGGACAGAGGAGCCTGGTGGGCTATGGTCCCTGGAGTCTCAAAGAGTCTGACACAACTGACGTGACTTAGCACACGTGAGATGTGGGAAAGCTCAGAGAGCTCCAGGGTGGAGACAAGGTGTTCCAGAGCCTTCTGCAGGGAGGACCAGTGACACAGCACTTGGACAGTGGAGTCCACCGTAAAATGGAGGCTATTTTCCTAATGCTCTGACATATGAATGGTTTTCTGTGCTAGGTTTTCTCTCCATGCTCTTCAGAAGAGGAAAGAACCCATCTCTAAGGGCCCATGTGGCTGCAAAAGCAGCCCCTTGTATCCTGCTCCAGGGCTGGAAAACACCAAGTCCCTCTCCTGAGAGTGCTTGCGGCATGGCTCATGAACAGAGGGAAGGAGTGAAGTCTTTTCTTTGGGACAACCTGGGGAACGCGATGTTACAAAGACTGTACTGACGGCCAGTTCCTGAGTGTCGACCATTACTGTTCTAAATGCTTTATGAACCTTATTTGCTTTATCCTCACAAATGCCCTAAGGGAAAATGTCACTATTATGTTTTTATCACTAAGGAAACCAGGGAAACACGATGTTTGTACATTGCTTAAAATCACACAGCAAGGAGGATGTGGACACAATACTGACTCCAGCCACACTACCCCTGAAACATGAGATTGTGGTCCAGAGAAAGGTTTGGATCTCATGAGCGCCCTGAGGCTCACCTGTCTCTCTGTTTCAATGACCATGAGGTGGGATGGTTCTTCAAACAGAAGAACCTCTAGGTGAGAGCCAGGGGGAGCTGCCAGTCTCTGGCAGGGATAGATAGAGTTTTAGCTTGATTCGTCAGTCAGTGTTAATTTGGGCAACAAGTACATTTTTGGTTCCCTATTAGACCCCACAGGATGCCAAGTGCATCTGATGCTTAGCCTTCATGAAGAATGCCAGAAGCAGCTCTACTGATGATGTACTAACCACGCTTCTCAAAGTGTGGTCCCTGGGCCAGCAGCGTCAGCACCACCTGCAGACCAGTTAGAAACTCGGATTATCAAGCCCCACGCAAGACACGCTGAATAGTGCTGAGTCAGAAACTTCCAGAATAAGGCACAGCAATCTGCATTAACCAGCCCCGCACGATAACATTTGAGAATCACTGCTCTAAGGCACTTGGAGGCAGCGCAAATTGAATTATTTTCTTTCACATACATCACCACTGACTTTAAATCTTTCATTCTTCTTCTTCCTTTAAAAAATATTTTTTACCTCATTTCCAAATCTTCATTCTCTTGTGGTACAAATTTGTACAAGGCAACATAGGTGTTCATCTGTAATGGATCTTTGGAAAGAGGTCCCTGAAAGAGAAACATAAAAGAAAAATGAGTGAAGAAAGGATAAAGAAATGGAGCAAAGGAAGAAGACAGGAAATGGAGAAGTTAAATGTAATTCCAGCGTACGGATCTTTTGTGTTAAATATCTAACCATTATTATTTTGTTCCAAACAAAAGTTTATTTTTAATTTCCTAGCTGAGTTTGATTTCATTACAAACTATTTGAAAACATTTATGTGGAACTTTTTGTCAGAAATACTACAATTTTCTTCAAATCACTTTTTTTTTTCTTTGATCTAGTTGTTCATGAAAGATGATACAGACTTGAGTCCAAGCAAGAGAATATTCTCTCTATAGACAGGAGACAGGTGGAGACTAGTAAACAACTTCTATTCCCTAAGATGGACAATTTTGTATCTAGTAATATCAAAGGGATCTGGGTGTAGTCATCCAGAAATAAGTTCATTCATGCTGTGGAAAAATGAAAGATGTTGGCCTGAGACTGATTTGATTGGTTATGGCATCACCATCCACTGACTATGAAACTGCAACAATGATAATAAAGGCTACTGTTTTCTGATAGCTTGCTGTGTGAGAGGCATGATGGCACATGGATTAGCACATGCAATGCTAACAACAGCCCTGTGAGGTCGATATTATTGTGTCTCTAATTTGTAAACTATATGAGTTTTATAGGTATTATATAAACATAAGCTGTTATTATTAACTACATAAATGTTATAGCTATATAAATGTTTCTGCTTTATAATATACAAGATAAATTAAAATTATACAACATGTAATATTTATAGTGTAGCATTTTATATGTATGCAGATATACAATGTATAACTATACATTTAAATATATAATAATATAATGAATAGATGCCATATCTAGAAAACATAAACAAAAACTGCACATAACTATATGCTTTTTATCTGTGATTCACTTTGCTACCCAAAGCTCAAGTACTTTATGCAGTATTATTCTATCTTAATTATATATGTAAATTAACATAAAATACAATACTTATGTACTATGAAATATAGTCATAATATATCATTTACATCTGTAGAGCACATATCAACTTGTATGTAACATACATAACAGAAAGAGAAGCACACAGTACAATATCTATCCTTTGTGCCTTGGATACATTGATATTTGTTTTGCTCAGTGCTGCCATATGCTATGCACTCTATGGTACATTATCCTCTAAAAATGCTAGTCTGGGCCCCACTAAAGTGATTTCATGACCCACTTTGGGGGTGACCTACAGAATAACCTAAAGACCCTGTCTGGTCTGTCTTCTGAGATGTCCATAAATACCTGGTGGTTTATGTTCTTTGCTTGGTCTCTGAAATCGTCGGTGCCATTTTCTGGATACGTGAACACTGAAAGAGACCAGGAAAAGTAGGAGTTTTATGAGTCCACATTTTGGAAACATGCTTGAAAGACGTAGCTTTATTTATTCCTTGTACCACAGTTTCAGCTCAGTTTCTCCCCGCCTTTCCCCATCCTCAGCGACCCAGCTCGCATGTCATGTCCCATCTGTTGCCCTCTGCGCCCCTTACAGGGTCCACACCGCACTCTCTGCACACCCACACCCTCGTCCACGCCTCCGGGCCAGCACACATCCTCCTGCATTGCTTGGTCTCATTTGGCAGAGCTCTTCTCAGGAGCAGAAACCATGTAATTCATCTATGTTAAATGTATCCAATCATTTGTTAAGGGGATGGTAGGGTAGGTGAGGTATGGCGCAATTTAACTGTATTTGAATACACTTTTCTAAGTACCAGACTCTTTGATCTCTATTAAATATCTTCATGCTAGTTTCCTGATAATCTCTGTATTCTACTTGCAGATTGAGGTTTTGAACTTCAAAATACTTCCTCAATCTCTTACTGGGAATGCATCGGGGGCTATTACTGAGAAAAAAATTAAACAGTGGTTTCTCACTTAGTGTGACCTTAAAATACACAATTCTCTACCTTTGGCATTTTAGCAGCCACTCTGTGGCCTTTGATGAAGAAAAAGGCTTCTTAAGATGGGCAGGAGTTGTCTCTGTCCACACACACAGCTGTGGGAGGTCCCTGATGGGTTGATGGGTATTGAGGGGCTCTGCCTTAGCTAGTTCAAGCATCTACCCTGGAGACCAACATCATGTATTGTTCTTAAATAAAAATAAAAGGTGGCATATGTTTCCAAGTCTATATGATAGGGCCCATAGTGTTGAAATTACTCTACCTTGTAGAAGCTTTGATAATCAAAAATAATACATTTTTGTTTTAGTCTCCCCTTTGGGTCTCCTAAAGAGGGTCAAAGAAACCAGAAGAGGAAGAGAAACACATCCCAGAAAGCTGTGCACCCTCTTTCAGTTAGCCCTGACAATCTCCACTGTCCTGCAAATGGACTCAGTCACTGTGAAGGAAACACACTTCCGAACAAGATCCCCATAAATGTACCAATGCTCAGTAAACATCTATTGTCCATGGTTTATGGTTCCAGAGCTGGTGGACGCAGTTCCATTATCCCTAGGAAGTCAATATGCGGTCATGGAAGGAGCTCCGCTTTGTAGGCCGATGCTTACAGACCGTGTCTGCCTGAATATTTGGCTATGCAACTTCCTGGTTTAAAAAGAGTAGAGACCAGCAATACTTTTCTCTGTTTTAAGTGATTACTTGAAATCTTGGCATAATACTTGATTCCATAGATATAAAACTGGACACATTTAAAGAATATTGAATAGCTGAATGGAAACATAACAAGACCATCTTCTTAGAAAATTATTGATTGAAGCTAAAATTGAGACTACATAAGATGCATGTGCAATATTCAGTTTGCTTTTACAGTTTTGTAATTTCAAATTATTTTAGCTCTTCATTGACTATCCATTAGCCATCACAACAATGCATTATCATTTTTTGAACTATGCTGAACATTATTTGAAGTGACTCCAAATGTGTTTTCAGTCAAATGGTTACAGACAGAACTGGAACATTTCAAAAATGATTTTTTAAAAAACCCATTCCTTCTGGCTATTTCTAAGACGTTGATTTGAGGGGAAAGGTATAAAGAAAGATAGCTATTTTACAAAAAAAATGTTATCAGACACTTTTTTATGTTTGGTACTTTAAGTTCATTTTATGAAAAATAATTTGTCTGTTGATTTCATCCATGGAAACATACAAAATCTGTTAATTCTGCAGGTATGTTTTCTAATGTTACAGATGCAAAATCAACCTTCAGTTTTTGCTAGTCCCCCTAAAGCTTTCTTCTCTTCCTTTTCTATATTCTGTCTTTCTCTTTTACTTCGCAGTCCTGTGAGGCCCATGTCTCCAATGAGCTGCTGATGTGGGTTTTCAGATTTAACCTGGTCATGTACAAGCTACATTATCAGCGTGCTGACACTGACTCACCTCGCATCCCCAGAATAAATTCAACGTGGTACTTATGTACAGCCTTTCTAAAATACGTTACTGGGTTCAGGGTACTGAGGTGATTTTGTGTCAGATTTCTGCGCCCACATTCAAGAGGGGGATGAGCCAGCGATTTTCTTTCTCACGCTATCTTCCTTTGGCTTCGAAGTCAGCATTATACCAGCCCCCTAAACTAAGTTAGAGAATGCTGCCGGCTGGCACTTTCTGTTGTCTTGAAAGAGCTTAGCTAATCTGGAAATTTTATCTTCCTTAAATGTTTGGTTGGTCAAGTTTACTTATAAAGTTGCCTGGGTCTGGCATTTTTGTTGTGAAAAAACTTAAAATATTGATTCTGTTTCTATCATAATTGGAAGCCAAGTCAAGTTCTCTAATTTCTATTTCCTCTTGAGTCATACTTTGGTCATTGATAACTTTCTTGGCAGCTGTCCATTTGAAGTTTTAAATCTACTGGTGTGAAGCTGGTCATAAGGTGCTTTCCTGTCAACCTTTGTTGACATTTCTCCTTTTAAAATTATTACTTTTGTTTCATCGTTCTCTCTTACTCTTAAAATTATCAATTGTAAATTCTACTTTTTTAAAGAACTATGTTTAGAATTTACTGATCTATCTGTGTCACGTAATAATTCCTTGTCTTTATTACTGCCTTCCTTATCTATTCTTTTTTCTTTTATTGACTTCTTTTTAAATTTTTTTTTACTGACTTATTGAATGTGATGCTCAGATTATTACTTTTCAGCTATTATTTTTTAATGAAATAATTTTAGAGCTGAATACTCTAGGCACAATTTTAGCTGCATCCCACAAGTTGCGATAGGTATATGTTCTTAAAAATTATTTATTTACGGTTGTGTTGGGTCTTCTTTGCCGCATGAAGGCTTTCTCTAGTTGCAGCAAGTGCGGGCTAATCTCTAGTTGTGGTTCACAGGTTTCTCGTAGCAATGGCTTGTCTTTTTGCAGAGCATTGCCTCTAAGGCATGTAGACGCCAGTATTTTGTGGTGTGTGGGCTCAGTAGTTGGAGCTCAAGGGATCTACAGCTTGGGCTCAGTAGTTTTGGCTCACAGCCTTCGTTGCTCCAGAGCACACGGGATCTTCCCAGACCAGGTATCAAACCTGTGTCTTCTGCATTGGCAGGCAGATTCTTAACCACTGGACCACTAGGGAAGTCTGGTAGTGTTTTCATTATTATTTAGTTTTAAATATATTTCAATTTTCATTATGACTTCTTTGACATATTAGCTTTTAAAAAGTATGTCTTTAATTTCCTAAATAGTGGGTTTTCCTAGTTATATTTTGGGTATTCGTTTCTATCTTGTTTGCACTGTAGTTAGAAAGATGTGTTCTATATCTTATTAATTCTGTGAAATTTATGAAGCGTGCATTATAGTCCAGTAGGTAAGCAATAGTTCCATGTGTTCTTAAAAAGAATGTGAATTCCTCATTTGTTAGATGAAGCGTCCTTTTTAATTTTAATTTTTTATTATTTTTAATTGAAGTACAGTTGGTTTACAATGTTGTGCTAGTCTCAGGTGTAAAAGTGATTTAGGATACATATATATGTATGTGTGCCATGCCAATTTGCTTTAGCCATGTCCGACATCTTGCAACCCTATGGACGGTAGCCTGCCAGGCTCCTCTGTCCATGGGATTCTCTAGACAAGAATATTGGAGTGGGTTGCCATGTACTCCTCCAGGAGACCTTCCTGACCCAAACCCATGTCTCTTATGTCTCCTACATTGACAGGAGGATTCTTTAATACTAGTGCTGCCTGGGAAGCCACTTTGTAAATATATTAATATATTCATTCTTTTGGAGTGTCCTTTGAAAGTTAATTAGGTTAGGATCGTCAAGTAGGTCCACAGATCCTCCATGTCTATACTGAATCTCTTTGTCTATCTCATTTGCCAGTGACCAAGAGGTGTGGTAAAATCTCTGATTATGAAGTGCAATGCCAATTTCCTAACAGTTCCGTCAATTTCTCCTTGACTTTTTGTCATCCTGAGGCTATGCATTAGATAGATGCTTCACCCTTTGCTTATGACCTTGCTTCCAGGGGAGATTAGGCAGTTAAGGCAAAAGCGAAGACCAATAATTCTGCCTCTGTCAATTTCTGAGGCACCAAGGAATAATGTTGAAGACAACAACCAGAAATCCTCAGACCTGCTCAAGCGATTCATAATATAAGAAGGAAAGCAGAGACTGCGTTTTTATCAGTAAAGACATGAGTATCAATTGTACTTCTTCTGAGGTGGCCTTGGAAATATTCCTCAAGAATTTTGACACAACACCTGGCTGGCAGAAATAATACCTGTGTGCCCTGTGCACTTTTTAGAACACACATGAAACAGGTGATACAGACCTGGAAGCTCTCCTTGCCAAAACTGTGAGAAGATGAGAGGGAACTTGGACTCTATGTAAGCAACTATGTTGTTTCTCAAACTGCACAGACAGAGCATTAAATCCAAATCAAAGGAACACGTGTTGAAGCAAACTGCTGCATAACTACTCACCCTCACTTCTAAGAGGGCATGTGAAGAAAGATACTGCTGATCAAAGGAATGTTTAATAGATCTCTAAAGCGTTTTAGAGATTTATTGTTTGCTAAGTTCTTTCAACAGATTTCTTTGAATAAGACTGTGAAAATGCCCTTTAATGTGGAAAAGAGACAGCAGATAATCAACTTGTGTTTTTGAGTGTATTACTCAGTGTCTCAGTTTCCTTAATCTATCTGGTATTTGTGGTGTGTGTATGTCTATGTATCCTTGTGTGTGTATGTTGGAGGAGAGGGTGTTGGACCAAATGGTCTCTAATCCTGTTTCTCAAATGTTAACAAAATGTGAACCACAGATTCATCTGCAAATTCTGATTTTGCAGGGCTGGGGCAGCCTGAGAGTCTACATTTCTCATGGGCTCTCAAGTTCTGCCCAGGTTGCTGGTCCATGGGCCACACGTGAAGTAGTGAGGCTCCAGACTGTATCTTTGACACTCTGTGACCTTATGATGACTTCAATAATAGCAATAGTGCTTCATAGTGATGATCCTTAAATACGGTTGTTCATAATTTAGAACTCTAAGAAGATCCCCTTAAAAAAAAATAAGTTGCGGTTGTGCTGTCTTTGCTGCTGCATGCAGGCTCCCTCTAGTTGCAGCAGGCGGGGGCTACTCTTCATCGCTGTGCGTGGGCTCCTCACTGCCGTGGCTCCTCTTGTTGCGGCACGTGGGCCCTAGAGAGCACGGCCACAGCAGCTGCGGCACGTGGGCTCTAGAGCACGAGCTCCCTGGCATGTGGGATCTTCCTGGACCAGGCATTGAACCCATGTCCCCTGCATTGACTGGACTACCAGGGAAGTCCCTAGAAGACCACTTTCTGAGTAAAGAAATCCCCAGGGCAAATAGGGACCTCGTCTACTGAGGAATGGCTGACAGTATCCATCAAGCTGGATCAGGCTGGTGGAGGCAGAGAGGGAAGTGGTGGGCACATGCTGGGTATGATTCTGAAGGCCAGCAGATAAAATCTGCCAACAGACTGGACAAGAGGTGCGAGAAGAAGGGTGTCAAGGATGATGCCAAAAGCCTTGGCCTGATAATCTAGCAGAATGACTTTCCTACAAGTGAGTAGGAGCAACAAAGAAGAGCCAATTTCAGTGGGTGGTTGGGCAGGGAGGCAAGTGAGGGACTCAAGAGTCCACTTGGGTGCATTAGCTTAAAGAGGCCTGTCCTCCATTCACACGGCCATGTCCAGCAGGCTACAGGCATCAGAGGCAGCCAAGAGGCCTAATGCTAGGAATGAAGCTTCAGAGTCATCAGTGAATGGGTAATATTTACATTCATTATCTCATTTAAAGATCACGAGGCTCTATGGATTTGGTGTTATTAGCATCGTCATTTTAGAGGTGAAGCGACTAAAGCAGAGAGAAGCGAGGTCTCTCGAAGGCCACATGATCACTAAAGGAAGCCCAGCCTTCACTTTCAGAGCAGGCAGGGGCCCAGGACCAAATACGTCCAGTGCAGTTATGATGAGAGGCCACCCGTGGTTTGGCGAAAAGAGTCTGGGGCAGGTGTCAGTTGCTCAGTCGTGTCTGACTCTGTGACCCCGTGGACTGCAGCCCGCCAGACTCCTCTGTCCTGGGATTCTCCAGGCAAGAGTACTGGAGTGGGCTGCCATTTCCTTCTCCAGGGGATCTTCCCAACCCACGGACTGAAGCCGGGTCTCTTGCATTGTAGGCAGATTCTCTACCGTTTGAGCCAGCAGGGGAGCCCACTATCAGGGGCAGGAGACGGGCAGAATCAGACTCAGGGGAAGAACAGCTGACCAGACCTGAAGCACTGAGACGCAGCTCTGGCTTATATTCCAGTCTCTGGTGAGTTTGGTCCTAAGGTACCGATGAACTCCAGGGCTGCTGGCCCAAATTCAATTGCTGGATCTGCGGTGCTAGACAGACCTGGGCTGGGTGCATGCAGGGTTATGGCTCTGCCTCAAGGGCCCCAGCAGCTGGTGCTCTCTAATCTGTCTCCCTCATGGCACTGCTAAGTGCTCCCTGGATATCTGCATGGATCCCAAAGTACAGTTTTCCCCATGTGATGCCAAAGGCTTCTTACTCTAGCGGTATGCTTTAGCAGCTGTGTACAGGCTTGGCAAGAGGGGGGCCCTGATGGATGCTGACAGTTATTTAGGAAGGAGGATCATCTCAGAGGCACAATCCTAACTGGAGAAGAGACATGAGTGAATTCCTAGAGCTAAAGAAATGGAAATGGTACCTCATTGTATGACAGCTGCTGACAACGCAGCTACAGGGTATTTGATGTAGAAGTTCTGTTTCCAGTCTGGAAAAGGCAGGGACAACCAGGCAAGTGGAAAATCTGTCCAAGGCAGCACTCTCCGGTGCTTCCCACATGGGGATTAGAGCCATGAACGGTAACTTCTGCCAGGAGAAGGCATTCAGCCCAAGGTAACAACACAGGTCACAGCCTGCAACATTGCTGGGTTATGAGTGACCTGAGCACAGTTCTGTGACATTGTAGTTTTGCTGGTGGTAGAAAACACTTCATAATTTTTTTTTTGTTGTTTAATAAATAAGAGGAAGTTAAGCAGTTGTTGACATCAAAGAGGCTCATCAAGATTCAATTATTAGGAGCTGGTTATGTCTCTTTAAGCTAAGAGGAGATTCTTTCTCAATGTTAGCAAGTGGTAGCAAGTAGTTAGTATTTAACAAGTATTCCAGGAATTATTTTAAAAAGGGCTTATGCTATCAGAAAACTAAATGATATTAATAAGGAATATCTGTCTTGATTGTGCAGATCAGATTTTGAATCTTGGTTATCTCTGCTGGGGAGGAGCCCAGGGGAGGCCCACACTCCTCAGCACCACCCCTCACTTGAGCAGGCACATCACTGTGAGTACTTCTGATGTTTTCTCTCTGGGATGCCCTGTTCATCCAGTGTAGGTAAGTGGGGAAAGTGATATGTTAACAAAAAGGTCTGGAAGGACCTCCATGTCCTTAAAGCATGAGAACTCAGGAGCCAGAGCTCAGGGAATGTTATAACTGAATTCCTAAAATCCACCAAAATTTATCCGTTCCCCTCCATATTATCAAACACTGTCCAGCCTGAATTTCAGAGGTAGCTGAGAAAGAGAGGGGCCTGGAAGTCATGTGAGCCTGCCTGCTGACCTGGATGATGGATGAGATACCCGTTTGTGCTGGGTGGTGGTGCCTGATTCCCACGCCCTGACTTACCACTGTTGCTCCGCTTCCGCAGGTCATACCCATCTCCTGGCCCATCAGCCTCTTCAGGAACCTCCACGAGATCTGAAGTCTTCAAAAGAGGGAACAGCAGCGAATAAGCAATGTCATTTAAGTGACTGAGTGAGCAGAGACTGTGATACCAGTAGAAGAACTAAGGTGGAATTTGCAAGAGACTGTCTTAAGCATCTCATCATTGCTCTCTTGTCTGTTTGGCTAACTTCAGAGAGGCTGTGTCCTCCCTCTCAAGCACTGTCCCTCCCTCCTGGTGTCTTGGGCAGGCTCAGGGGCTGGCACAAGAAAGGTGCTCAGTGAGAGGTGAATGAGTGCCTATAGGCACTGGCTACAGTTAGGCTGCTTCCCAGGAAGAGACGACAGAGAGAAATCAGAATTCCTGCCCACATCCTGTTACTTAAAATGTTCAGCAGGACTATAGCTTTTTCTAGGTGAGTGCTGAACATTAATTCTGGAGAACAAGATGCACTTTTGAGGGTTGCATTACTTAGGTATGAGTTAAAGCCTGTTTCCATTGCTGCAAAAAGTAATTGTTTCAGTAACATCAATACTTATTCTGCCCTTTCTTATGTATAGAAAGAGTTATATTCATTATAGGGCTTCCATGGGGGCTCATATGGTAAAGAATCTGCCTGCAATCTGGGACACCTGGGTTTGATCCCTGGGTCAGGAAGATCCCCTGGAGGAGGAAATGGTTACTCACTCCAGTATTCTCACCTGGAGAATCCCCTGGACAGAGGAGTCTGGCAGGTTAGAATCCATGGGGTCACAAAGAGTTGGACAAGACTGGGCAACTAACACTTTCACTTTTTTTTTCATAGTCATTATTTAGGTTACAGAAATAACAGCAACAATAATAAAGCAGCACTCTAAATAGCTAATTATAACCAATCATCTACTGCCTGCTGTTTTTAAGTACTTTATATGAATTGTCTCATTTATGCTTCACAATAATTCTATGATAGATCTATTTTTCAGATAGGAATCTGAAGCCCAGAGGGAACTCAACTCGAAGTCTCAGAGTTCCTAAGTGGTAGAGCTGGGGTTAGACCTCTGGCATTGTCTCCAGAGTCCATGCTCTTTTTAAAAATAGAGTTGATCTACAATATTATGTTAATTTCAGGTATACAACATAAAACTTCAGTATTTTTTGCAGATTATACTCCATTAAAGGTTATTTCAAGATCATGGTTATAATTCCCTGTGCTATACAGTATATCCTAACTGCTTATCTACTTGATAATTGTTTGTATCTGTCAATCCCATAGGCCTAATTTGTCCCTCTCCCCTTTGGGAACTATAAATTTGCTTTTATATCTGTGAGTCTGTTTCTGTTTTGCATATACATTCATTTGTATTATTTTTTAGATTGCACATATAAGTGATATCATACAGTATTGGTCGTTCTCTGACTTATTTCACTAAGCATAACATTCTCTAGATTCATCTCCTAAGCACTGGGAGATGCTTATTTTTGCTTATTTTCTTATTATTTCTTGGTCATAATACATGGCATGTGGGATCTTAGGTCCCCAACCAAGGGTCAAACCTGCGCCCTCTGCAGTAGAAGCCCAGAGTCCTAACCACTGGACCACCAGAAAAGCCCCTCACCTCTCTAAAAGAGGAATTCAGGGGGCCTCAGAGGAGAGTCACATACTTTTAAAACAATTTAGGAACAAGTCAGCCTTCCTAGCTCTTCTCATCAGCTCTAAAGTCCTATAGTGCTGCCTGTCTGAGACTGATTTCTTGTTACAGTTTAGCTTTAAGATTTGTTTCAGCCATTCTTCCTTTCATGACACATCAGAAAGAAGAAAAATATAAATGTCACAGGGTCTCTAAGTCACTTGGACCCTTCTCTGCAGCTCACTGTTTCTGAACAAAAGTTGCTATGATGATGTTAATTTAATCTCATAAAACTGAAGGTCATTCCTAAACGAGCTAACCAACTCCTAGAAAGTTTTTGTATTTGGTTTCTGCTGGCTCTCCCAAAGCCATCAAGCTTTTTATATTCTACAGCGTTTGAAAGCACATGAGAGGAAACCTAATAATTTAGAAACAGCCAGGCAGCCACTTCCCGACAATGTAAAGCAAATGCCTCTATAGCCCTGGAAGAAAAGAAACCTTTGCTACGTGGGAATGTGTTCGCTTCAGGACATAGCAACACTGCCAGAATGGCAAGAGGCTGAAGTTCGTTACCACGGACCCTGCAGGAAGGAAGCAAAGCCACTTTAAAGTAGCGACCAATTGCTGCTGTTTGCTTCCACCAAGGCAAGCTGGGCTCCAGGGAAAGAGTGAAGTGACAGATATTTAAGCACAATTTGATTTGTCTTTGTCTCCCTGCAGCTCTCAGAAAGATGCCTTCACAGAACAAAATTCCAGGAAATATTTACCAGTGGAACCAGTGCCAGGAAGTATAAGCAGACTATGATGAACCAACAAGTTACTGACATACAGAAAACTATGCTTTTTTGCTCCTAAAACCAGTCTGTAGGGTCAAGACACAGACACGAAAGCAGCCTGGACATCCCTCAAGTGTGCCTGTGATGTTCCTCTTGCTCCAAACACCAGTCACAAATGCAGAGGTGAAAACGTTCACTGCCTCCTGCCGACTGGTCCCTGGGATGTCTCTGTGCTAAAACTAGCTAACCAACTAGTTAGTTGAGCTAGTTCCTGCAGAGCTCAGAACTGCAGGAGTGGACGCTGCTGCTGATGTGAGCAGGTCAGACCTATCTCTGAGGTGCCTTCTCTCTGCTACAGAGCTGGGTGGCATCTTGGGGCATTCACAGAAATTCTGGTTAGGACAGCCAGAGAGGATGATAATACCAGGTCACAGAGATGCACAGAACACTCATTTTTAGGTCAGGTCAAACGAAGGCGCTTCCCTGGTGGCTCAGATGGTAGTAAAGACTCTGCCTGCAATTCAGTCCCTGGGTGGGGAAGATCCCCTGGAGAAGGGAATGCCAACCCACTCCAGAATCCCATGGACGGAGGAGACTGGAGGGCTACAGTCCGTGGGGTCACAGAGAGGCAGACACGACTGAGGGACTTCACTACTGCTATTACCAAGTGTGGGAGAGGTGCCGGGGGATGGTGATGTGACCCGTGGACGGAAACACCCCATGCAACTGGGGAGGGCAGTGTTCGTGTGAAAGAAATCAAAGGGTGGATCTTGCTTTAAAGAGAAAGGACTGAGAACAGTGAGAAAGGGCTGTATTCTTGAACTGGGATGCAGCTGGAAGGAGAACAGGACACAGCTGGGACATTCCAGCTTCTGCCCTTGTCTGGGGCGAACCTTTCTACGTGTTGGCAGATATGCTGTCTAATGGAGTGGGGGGGGGAGGTACACGGGGGAGAGTCAGGATTATGAGGCCAAGAGTGTGGTCTCTGAGGATCTCTGGGGGCCGGCCACAGAACGTTACCCTTCAGTGCCCCAAGGCACTTGGAGCCCCCTTCGGAGGCTGCGTGACTCCCGCGACTCCCCGCCTGACGCGCTCTGTGGTGCTCCAGGCCTGCCCTGCCTGGGACCACGGCGGGTTACCCGAGGGAGGAGGAGGCAATCACCGAGGTTCTGTGAGGCGAGTCGGAGCCGCTGCCCGAGCTGCTTTTCTTTGTCCTCTGGGCCAGCGAGGTGCCAAAGCGGAGGGTCTCATACACAGGGTCCACCTTATTGCCGCAGGCTGCGACAGAAGAGAAAGCTCATCTGAGACAGGGTTCCCTCAAGTCACGGTCGGGGACACAGCCGACCACTGACCACACCTCCTGGGTTAACGACACCAGAAGTAAGTTCTGCACAACGGACCCACTAACCCCCGGGAGACCCCTGGGGAAGTGAGGCTTCTGTGGTCAAGTATCCTTGGGGATGTGCACCTCCCCGCCATGACTGTGCCAATTTTCCGGCACCCTCCACAGCACTCAGCTCTCTCTGCTCCCGAACGTTCCCTGACTGGCTGGTTCTCCTCTTTGTTATCCATCCCCAGGGCTCCAATGCCAAGGTTCTTCCCAGAGACCGGCTTTATTTCCTCTAGCGAAAGGCTCTGCTTGCCAAGGTACAAAATCTTGTGACACAAAGCCGGCAGGAGGAGGCAAGTGTTTGGAAAGAAAGTCACATTACTAGGCTTCCTGAATTTCTAATTAAAAGCTTTCTAGTTTGTAAATTTCTAGGGTAAAACTTGTTCCCCCTGCCTCCACCAAAAGGCAAACATAAATGTGGAGATTTTCAGAAAGAAAGAAAACATAGAAGTAAACTGAAAGATACTGCTGAAGAATACATTCAAGTCAGAAATATCTGTAAGACATTATTTGTCTTCATTAAAGAATAACTGATATTCACTGAGTTCCTTTCGAGCATTGGTCTTATAATGTATCTCTGTTTATTTTCACCTACAAAAAATTATGAAAAGCAGCCATTACTGTTTTCAGAGTACAGGGTCCAGCAGGTTGAGTTACTTGCTCAGATACGCATCTGGCCAGTGGGGGAACTGGGCTCTGACCCAGGTCTAAGGGAAGCCATGCTTCACACTGCTTCCACTCTGCCATGGTGCTGAGAGCTGGCACAGCATCTCAGCAGCCTTTGGGACCTGGGTGTCTCTCAAGTTTCATCAGGGCAGGGAAAAAAACTTCAGGGGAATTTGGTCCACCATCAGTTTCCCCTCCAGCAAAACAAACGACCATAACCCAGTTAGCCACCGAATGAATGCACTCTGCCCTGCCCCCTGCCACCCCTGTGGCCCTGGGACCCAGGAGGAGAGCAGGCCTCAGCTTGGATGTTGCTGCTCAACCCAACGCAACCCAGCAAGGTCTCAACTCACCAATGGGCATAACTTCTTTAATGCAGCCAAACTGTTCATGAATGAGCAAGGGGGAGCTGTAGTAACGCCGAAACCCCTTTGGCTGGGGAGAGAGAATGGGAAAGAAAAGGGTTCAGTGTCACTGCTGAGATGGAGGCAACCACTTGAGAACTCTGAAAATGAAACCAGTTGCTTTCTCTAGGGACGCCTCCCTGTCACCCTTTAAGATGCTGACATGGCCTCTAATTTCTCCCTGGGGTGGGGGCGGGGAGGTACAGCTGTCAATAAGCAAGCCCCACTGCCTCCAGAAGGCAGACCCCCCCCAGCCCTGCCCTCCCGTCCTGCCTCTCCTCTGCCTGCTGCCACCTCCTTTCTGCTGGGCTCGTTATCCCCTAGGACACAAATGGACGCTTGTGCATTCTCTCACCACGTGGTTTATTACACTCATTCAAAGGCCTGGTCGTGGGCAAGCGGACCTCACAGGGAGACCTCAAGTCCCTTGTATGTCTGATGAGCTCTGAGTTCCAGATCCCGTTCTGTTTCCCGGACCTCTCACCCGTGGTCTCTGCCCTGGCTTCTGGGAACCACCATGGGAGGAGGTGGGGGGAGCAAGTGAGGCAGGGGTTTTGGAGAAGAGGATACTGCCAGTCAAGAGTACAGAGAGGAACTCTAAGAATCCTGGCTTCACCCCAGGCTCAAAAAGGAACGTCAGGGCCCTGCCCCTACCAGAATCCCAGAACCCTCTCCAACGTTCCTGGCAAGAGTTCCTCTGGTGAACACTGCTGGGGACGTGGGTGGCAGGAAGTCTCCCTAACCCAGGACAGAGGACTTTAGTGGCATTATCTCTGGTTGTTAAGACGTGGAACCGACTGATCCTAGGTGCTTTCCCTGGAGCCGTAGAGAACAGAATTCTTCCGTGTGCCAGATCTTAAGTTTTTCTGAATCAACTATCATGACCTAAGTGTCTCTAGGGCAGACCTTCTTGGTCCCTTAGAGTAACAGAATTCTTTGGCCATCCTAGTTTCAAATATTTTCAAAAGTGTTCTAGGTGGCTTTCTATAATTGTGTAGCACCAGTAGGGAAGCCCACTCCTGAGATGAGACAAACAGCCAGCATGGGCCATGCTGAGGCTCCCTCTCTGGGTTTGGCCATCATGATCCATGATAGTAGTGTAGATTTTTACTACTCCACTTCTGTGGAGTGGTTAATCTCTATCCCATTCTTGATATGCTCTGAGCTGTCAGCCCATTGAACTGGGGCTGAGGAGGTTCCTGGGATGCCTAACTTTTACTTTCAAAACCTGGACAGTCCCGGGATGTGGGACTTGAGGGCTAACACTGACAAAGTCCTGACCCAAGACAAGTTGTCCATTTACTAAAGACCCTGAGTTTTTTTCTACACACAGAACTTGCACCTCTTCGGTTGAAAAAGCTCCTCCTTACTCAATCCTACTAGGAAGCCAAGCTGGACAGCCAGAGATCTGGGGTGGGGTGGGGCGGTGCTTCCTGGTTTCATCAGGCAGGCACGCACCCTGAGCAGGGGTCCCGGGGTACACCCTGGGCACGGCCCCTTACCAGCTTGCCCATGCACCGCTGGGGTGCCAGGCCATCCATGCACTTGTGGTGGATGCTCATCTTACAGGCCTTGCAGCGCAGTCCATGCTTAGCATTTGTTCCTGTTGGATACATGGCGAGCTTTGGTTAGGACACAACGTGCTTTCCCAGATACTTGTATGAATTCTTTCCCGTGACTTGTACAAAGCTTTCAAAATGGACAAACTGTTATGGTACATTCTTTTACCTTCTTCCCTCTTTTCTACGCAAAGTATCAGTTCTGGTTTCCCTCCACTCCTTTCCTGTTCATTTCTCCAAGAAACCTCAATCTTCTCTGCTTTCATCACTCATTCAATTTAAACTCGCAAATCCCACTTTCTTGGCTCTTCACATGGGTCACATTTCTGCTCTTTTATGTACCTCACTAAGTAGCCCAAGTCCAGACATTCTGTCCATTTACCTGAATTCCTATCACAGAGTCTGAACTCTCGGGCAAACTCTCTGGAAAATACCCAATACAGGGCGAACAGATCTGTGGTCTGTGTGATATCAGCGCTGATGATGCTCTGAAGTGGGGGAGAGAGAGAGCTCGATCAGACACCAGCCCTGGCCTGGGGGAGGAGGAAGGGCAGTGGGTGGCAATTAAACCACCTCTGCAGCGAGTCACTTAAGTGTCCTGGGACAGGGTGCTATAGCACGGTGAGAAGGACGAAAGCAGAGGGGGGAGGACAGGAGAGAGGCACCCAGGGAACTGTGTTACTGCCCCAGGCCCATGGCAGCGGTGCTGGAACGGCTCGGGGAGGACAGACCAGGGCGCTGGGTGTGGCAGCTCCAGGAAGGTGGGGGCGGAGCTGGATACCTCATTTGTTGTTTCAGAAAGTGGCTAGAAGGAGACAAGGAGAGGATGTTAAAATGGGCTGTGTTGTGTCTCCACTGAGTCCAGGACAGAGGATACAGATGGCACAAGAGGTGCTATCTGCTCTGATTTATTAAGGGGAAACAGGTGCTTGGCTCCCGGGCGGGCCTTAAAGATTTGGTGCCAAAATGCATTTCACAGCTAAGTGACCGAGCAATTTAATCCTATTAGGAAAGAGGAAGGGAAGTGGAGGACTGGAGGGAGCACTTCTTTGCAGAGCTGTTTGGGCATTAAGAGTTTTATCCCAAAACGATCCTTCTCTACATAATGAGAAGAATGTGGTGCTTTCTCCTCAATCTCCTCCTGCTGAGGGGGTTTGGAGGAGATCTGGATGTAGGGCTGTGGCCACATCCTTGGGAGAGTATACAGGTGAGAGATACAGGTGACCAGTGGTCCTGGCAGCCTGTCCGGGAGACATAGCCATAGAGGCGAGGCCTGCACCCTAAAAGCTTGTCAGCAAGGGGATGTGTGAATACCTCCTGTGGACCACGCTGAATGCCGCCTGAGAAGACCAGGTAGAAGGGAAAAGGGCCTCCCTCAACAGGAATTAGTCTGTCCATGTACTGTGACCCAGGAGCCCACAGGTCTCCCTCTGCACATCGTAGTTGGCAGGCAGGTCTGGTGGCTCAGATGGTAAAGAATCTGCCTGCCATCAGGAGACCTGGGTTTGATCCCTGAGTCAGGAAGATCCTCCGGAGGACGGCATGGCAACCCATTCCAGTATTCTTGCCTGGAGAATCCCATGGACAGAGAAGCCTGGCAGGCTACAGTCCAAAGTGAGGAGAGTTCGAGATACGTAAGATCCACCTCCACCTGCACCTCCATCAAACCACCACCATCCCTTGTCTGGATGGCGACTGAACTGTCTTTACCTGTTTTTATGTTCCTGCCTGGTGTGTAGAAAGGCCAGACAAACGTACTCAAATCCCCTTCTCCTGCTTAACTGTCTCTCAGGAGGTTCTCCCTGCTTTCTGATGTTATACAAAATGCTTACCGTCATGGCAAGACTTTGTATGATTTGGTGGGAACCTTCCCCAGGGTATAGCTACATGGCCTTCTTCAAGTTCCTTAAATGCACGAGCTCTTGAATCTCCAGGAGTCTTTACACATGCTGCCCTGTGTGTGTGGAACACTGTGCCTGTCCCTCCTCATCCTTAGGGTGGCTTGGCATTTCTTCAATGAAGGCTTCTTAGAACACTCCCCTTTCCCCGTCTAAATTATATTTTTTCCTATTAGTCTTTCCATGGCACTCTGTTGTTATGTTTCACAGTATTTATCACAATTATTACTTGAGTTTTTTTTTTTTTCCATCTGAACTATGAACTCAGTGAGGCTAAGGCTATTTGCCACTGTATACCAGCTCTGGGTATGGTGCCCAATAAACATTCATTAAAGAAATTAATGAACAAACTCTGTATTTTATCGTCAGTCACACATGTGCTGAAATCAGTAGTGACTGATTCACATAATTAATTGAAACGGTTTTACTGATGGTGTGAAAAGCATTTGGAGACCATTGATTTCACAGATGAGAAGCTTGAGGGTCCAAGCAGTAGAGTGACTTGCCTCGGGTTCAAGGAAGTCCTGCTTAGTTTCAGTCTTTCTGGACTTGATCCAAACATTTCCTCCTTTTATTTGATTGTTTCACTGACAAGAGGATGCACTTGGGGATGTGGTAAGTTGCTTCAGTCGTGTCTGACTCCTTGTGACTCTATGGACTATAACCCACCAGGCTGCTCTGTCCATGGATTTCCCAGGCAAGAATACTGGAGTGGGTTGCCATGCTCTTCTCCAGGGGATCTTCCTGACCCAGGGATGGAACCCACATCTCTTATGTCTCCTGCATTGGCAGGCAGGTTCTTTACCACTAGCGCACTTGGGGATAATGAAATGATAAAATAAGGAACTATGAGAACCTGACATTTAGCTAACAAAATCAACAAGAAAACCCTTGACAGGAGAAAGTCCTAGAAACTCTTCAGGAGGTATTACCTGAAAATCCCATCCTGAAGGCACATTGAACAAAAGAGTGTTTGCTATTACAAACACAGAAAGTTGAAGTGACATATAAACACACCATAAATTACTGGATATGTGTGTTTGTTCATAAATACTAGTTGGACAGTCTCTTTTTCACTTTGACAATAAACACTTAGTTGAAAGACTGCAATGCCTTCAAAAGACTGGACTTTGAAAGCAGTAACTTAATTTTTGTTTTCAAATTGGAGAATGCTATTTGTGCTCTATGTGAGAATGTAACTAAAAGCTTCAAAGAGGAAAGTTATTTCATTGTGTGCCGGTCTCTGAAATAGAGCCATTATATATTAAGGTATATTTTCCTTCAGACTTGAACACTGTAATTTCAGTTTTCCCTGTTTGTTCTAACACACTCCACTGTATGAGTCAGACCACTAGCAATTATTCGGTTTTAGGTGTTCCAATTTCCACTGTTTAATAACAAGAGTGATTGAGGAGGAAAGCTTGTATTCTGTGACTTAGAGAATAGTTCAAAGGAATAATTTACCTCCCAGCAGTGGCATTAGTTTACTGTAGCAAGATAGGGAGAAGCTACGATCTAACTTGTTTTATTACCACCAACCTCCATCACAAAGGCATCACTAAACATGACCCTTATGCCTCAGTAGGGTGGGAAAAGTATGGTTTTAAATGTGAATCCCTCATGCAGGCTCTTTACACTAACATTCTTGGAGCCCCAGCTGTCTTATCGTCAAATGGAAACAGTACTAACTACTATCAGGGTTGCTAATAGTAACAGCATCATAATACATACAAAGAGGATAACATGGGTTTACATACTTGGAAACATAAAAGTATAAGTGGATTTTGAGTAAGCATGGTGGACAAGTCACAGGAGTTTCCTACTTACTCATACCAAAACTCCATTAAAATTAGCAAGGAAAAAAAGATGGTATAGACCCCCAATAATAGGATTATCAGAAGGAGTTGCAAGGGTATAAGAAAGTTTGACATACATTTGGAAGACAGCAACTGGAGGTACCGTAAGAAGTTTAGCAGAAGGGATAAAGATTGGATTTCTCAATAGCAACTTGGAAACTAGACGATCATGGAGCTTTAAAAACTGTGGAATTTCAAATATCTGAGATAAAATAATTTCTAACCTAGAATTTTATACCCAGTCAAATTACCAACAGGTATAAAGGTAGCATAAACACATATTCAGATTTTCAAGGAATTAAAACTATATACTTTTCACATACTCTTCCTTAGAATACTAGTGAAGAATATGCCTTAAAAAGATGATGAAATTAATCAAGGAAGAGGAAAATATCAGACTCTGTGTGCAATACAAGAACCACATAGAGGAGAGGTAAATGATGTGCATACATGACAACACTATAATAGCCCTAAACAGGAGCCATGGATGAAATGAGCCTAGGGGAAAAATAAAACTTAAATGTTTATGGAGCTTTTAAAGATTCGGGTATCTTAATAGATATGGGATTCAATAGGTATATGGGGGCATATAAAAAAACAATTACAGGTGTATGAAAGGTCAAGGAAATGATAAAGGCAATTTTCAATTTGGGTCAACACAAAACCTGTATAAGAAAAGAAATGTAATAATAGTACAATGCTTGTATCAGATGTTAGCAACAGGGACTTCCCTAGGGAACCGGTGGTTAAGAATCCTGCCAATGCAGGGAACACGGGTTCGATCCCTGGTCCGGGAAGATCCCGCATGCCCTGGGCAGCTAAGTCCACGAGCCACAACTACTGAGCTCTGAAGCCTGTGCTCCGCGGTCAAAGAAGTCACCACAGCGAGACACCTGAGCGCTGAAACTAGAGAGTAACTTCTGCTCACCCCAAATAGAGAAAAGCCGTTGCAGCAACGAAGACTCAGTACAGCCAAAAATAAATAGATAGTTTTTAAAAAACTTAAAAAAAGAACTTAGTAGCAGTCATAAAAAAGCATAAAGTGACCAGCTAACAGCAAACTGTGATATAACTACTTGGGAAGGTGAGACAGCAAGGGAGCAGCCAAGATTGTGATATCACCCTTATGAGGGGGTGAGCGGGAGGAGGACAGGAATAGGCAGGCGTGTTGGAGGGTGAGAGCTGAATCCTCATCCTCTATAGCAGGAAGCCAAGACACACTTGACTTGTCAATTAGGATTAGTAGTACTGGAAGCACAGGATTTAAGATATTGACGTAAAGGCCAGAAG